GTCACGGTGAGCGCGTCTGCTCTTTGGTCTGTCGTCTTCTGCACTTCATAGGCTACATCCTCACCGCTCTGTTTTATTGTTAAGTACACACTGAAGCCATTGCATTCATACCTGTCATTTATGATGGCAGATGGATTCTTATTGGCTACTTTTCCCTGTTGCTGATTTGCAGACAGATTTTGAAATAGCAGAGTACTGCAATAGTTAATATGTGGAGGAGTCAAGCAACCAGACTGCTCAGCACTCCTCCAAGACTGCACCCTGCTGTAGTTAAACCGGCCCATGCTCAGATGTATAGTCTGTTGCTGTTGGGTTGGTGTTGCTGTGAAATCTTCACGATTGATTTATCTTTATCATCTAGAGTTTGACTGTTAAGTTGAATAAAATCCCACCAAAATAAAGAGTGGCTGAGATCACTATTGAAAGCTTACGTTCAATAAACCTTTTACGTATTGTGAACTCCCAGGTGGTGGCTAGAGACAGCAGATGCATCAGCTTCTCCATACTGGATTGTTGTCATTCAGAAATCAGTCAAGCTAGTGCGGATGTAGCCTAGCTCTCCTGACACTTTCTTCTCCCGTTCTTTCTTATTTGTCTCGTTAACATCAATTACAGTTAAAATGTGATGTAATCATTAAGTGTTAGTTTTCTGTCTCATTTGATTTCTACGAAAGCTAAAAACCAAAGGAGGCGAACACAAAAATACATTTAGAAATATAAGTTCTAGGTGTTTAAATATTCCTAATTGAGACTCCTTGTTATTGTTGGGTTTTACTGAATGAATGTGTCGCCCCCCCCAGGTGCAACAAGGAAGTCCCTCCTCCATCAGTTCAGCCAACACAGAGCACTCATCGTGTTCACTGAAGCCAACTTCTCTATACATGCTCCACAAAGCGACACAGGTATTCAACACTGTAACAAACAACACTGTAACTTTGTTGAGCTTTATCCCTCACTGATCATCATCACAAACCTAAACAACACTGTAACTAACAAACAACACTGTAACAAACAACACTGTAACTTTGTTGAGCTTTATCCCTCACTGATCATCATCACAAACCTGTTACTCATCTTGATACTCTCTCTCCCTGTAGTCGGATCTCACCATAGAAAAACTAACGGCAATGGAGAACAATAAAAACTCTGACCTGGAGAAGAAGGAGGGCCGCATTGATGATTTACTTCGGGTACTGAAGATCTTCCCTATATGTGTGCTTTCATTTACTTTCGTGACGTGTGCGACCAAAACATGGTTTTCTAATATGTCCCGTTTGTGTTTTGTTTTTTGCGCTCCAGGCTAACTGTGATCTAAGGAGACAGATAGATGAACAGCAGAGGATGCTGGAGCGATACAAGGAACGGCTAAACAAGTGTGTGACCATGTCTAAGAAGCTGCTGATTGAAAAAGTATGTACTCAGAAGAGCAGCGTGATTCATCATGATTCGAATTGACCGGCGTAATTGGCTCATTGTGGGCTTGTTTTTGAGGCCTAATCTAATCTGCGTGTATTCATCAAGGCCGTCTTGACGCATTGTCTTTTCTCTGATTGTCCTTCTTCAGTCCAAACAAGAGAAGATGGCATGTCGGGACAAAAGCATGCAGGACAGACTGCGGTTGGGCCACTTCACCACAGTGAGACATGGAGCGTCCTTCACTGAGCAGTGGACAGATGGATATGCCTTCCAAAACTTAATCAAGTGAGTGTTCTTGTCATGTGTTCATTCTAAATACTACAAACAAATAATCCAATCTGTTATACCTCGTTTCATTATCAAAATACATTGTCAAAGAAGGAAAAGGGAGGGGGAAAAAATTTAAATGTAACAATAATGTTGTTGCGGGTGTTTTTTCCAGGCAACAGGAAAGGATCAACTCCCAGCGAGAGGACATTGAACGGCAGAGGAAGTTATTGGCCAAGCGTAAGCCGCCCTCTATGGCCCAGACTCCACCCCCGAGCCTGGAGCAAAACAAACGTAAAAGCAAGACCAATGGAACAGAAAGTGAAGCGTAAGGGGCTTTAAGTTGATCATCCCTCTTTTTTCAACACAATATTGCCTGGTTGAATTTAGTTTCACGTGGTGGGTTCCTGTGCTTTTGCAGATTATCACAGGCGGAGTACCACGAGCAGGAGGAAATCTTCAAGCTAAGACTAGGTCATCTTAAGAAGGTGCAGCTCCGCGGCCGAAATCATGATGCAAAAATCAAACTGTGACGTTTGCGACTGTGGTGATTGTGCACTGCTTTTGAATAATTTTCTTCTTTTTTTTTGCAGGAGGAGGCGGAAATCCAGGCAGAGCTGGAGAGGTTGGAGCGAGTGCGAAATCTACACATCCGTGAACTGAAAAGGATCCATAATGAGGATAATTCCCAGTAAGGTTTTCTCCTTCTCTGATGATCCTTTTTTATTAGATCCGTACTTTTATGCCAGAGTTTTGCACAGAGAAATGTCGACGCTGTGCCTCGAATCTGGACTCAGAAGAACCAAAATATGCAGTTGATCTTTCTGCTTATATTTCTCAAGTAATTTAATTGCAAACCCGCACCTGTCAATCATCTGTCTTCAAAGTCCAAACTACAGATGAAACAACAGTGTAAATCTGAGAAAACAATTTCATTATGATTCAATGTGACGTTTTTCCGCGTACTTCCAGAAGTGTTCCAGCCTGTATGGTCTTAGTCATCAGTGATACTGTCGGCTCTTCATGTGCAGCTCTGTGTAATTGAACGCTCCGCTACTTGGCCGTAATTGCACAACTCAATATAAAACAGAGCTTTTCTGCAGGAAAAACTACTTCATTCTGGAAACTGTGGCGTCAACACTTGGCAACAAACAAACGTTGCATTCAAGGCAACTTGCGAAGAGACCTCGTTATTTTCAATTGCAAATATAAGGGAGAAATTTGAGAACTGTTGCTCCATGGAGGCCTCGCGTGTGATGATTATTTCAGTAAAGTGCAGTTTTTTGGCTTGGTTTCATACTACTATTACTATGTGGTGAAAATGTTGTTAATGAATAGTGACGTCGCACAGTATATTCAAGGGGTCGTGTTCTTTTCAGATTCAAAGATCACCCTACGCTAAATGACCGATATCTACTTCTCCATTTACTGGGACGAGGAGGTTTCAGTGAAGTTTATAAGGTGAGAAAGGTTAAATCAACGCAACTAATCAAGACTGCTTTTTCTGTTGTTGTCGCTGAGGTCATCTTTTCCAAAATGTCTGATATCTAACATAATACAACAATTGCATTTTCCAGGCCTTCGACCTCACGGAGCAGAGGTATGTTGCAGTCAAAATCCACCAGTTAAACAAGAACTGGAGGGACGAGAAGAAAGAAAACTATCACAAGTGAGAACATTCACGTATTTCACCTCATACTCCATATAATATTAACCTTCATAATATGTGGTTGAACTGATGATTCCTGTTTTGGTCTGCAGGCATGCATGTCGAGAATATAGAATCCATAAAGAGCTGGACCACCCAAGAATAGTTAAACTCTACGACTACTTTTCACTTGATACCGACTCGTAAGTCCTCGTCATTTGAAAATGACAAAACGATTGTCTTTGTTGACTGTTGAATGTGTGCTAAGGTGGTTGTGAACTTGATTTAACTCTTGTTTTTCCTGGAACAGGTTCTGCACCGTCTTGGAATACTGCGAGGGAAATGACCTGGACTTTTACCTGAAACAGCACAAGCTCATGTCGGAGAAGGAGGGACGTTCCATTATCATGCAGATAGTCAACGCCCTCAAGTACCTCAACGAGATCAGACCACCCATCATTCACTATGACCTTAAACCCGGTGCGTCTGCGCTGCACACTTGAGTTGATCTCATTTCAGTTGAGTGGCATAGGAGCTGCTGCCAATTTGGTGACATCAACATCCTTGTCCTTCGCTTAAGTTCATTAGGGGCTGTTCTTATAGTTGATGTGTTACCTATTAGCTTCACCAACGTGCGGCTAAAGCTACAAGGGCACAGTTTAGTAATAATGTAGTTAGCGCTAATTCATGGACGCATTGAACAGTCTGTCAACAGCACGGAGCAGAACTAAATGAATTTTGGATGGTTTCAATTTCCATTTTAATGTTAGCTTTTATGTTCTTTTTGTTTGTCTTTGAGAGGCTCCAATAGAAAATTTAAAAAAGCTAGGACACTCATTTATAATGGGATTAACAACTTTATCCGCTCCACCTTCATTTGCACAAGCCTGTGACACACCTCTGTCTGTTCAGGCAACATCCTCCTGGTGAACGGCACAGCATGTGGGGAGATCAAGATCACAGATTTCGGCCTGTCGAAAATCATGGATGACGACAGCTACAACTCGGTGGACGGGATGGAACTGACATCGCAGGGAGCAGGGACGTACTGGTAAGATGTAGGAGAGTGGAGGACGCTGTGGATGTAATAAATAGTCTGTTTTTTTAACCACATTACATCATTTCTTTGGGGTCAAATTTCCGTCATTCATAACTAATGTATTCAGCAGCGCCGCAGTGCCTTTAACCACCGCAGTCCATTAGGAGACGTGGTCTGCTGGGTGGAGGCATTTCAAGTGAAATAAAATGCCAACGTGTGTTTGTGTAATAAAGTCATATATATATATTATTATTATTATTATTCTGCCAGTCCTTGCTTTCTGCTTTTAGAATGACTATCTTACATCTGTGTAAGCTAGTAGGTAGCCCTCACTCACAATAGATTGTTGAGAATTATTTGAATAACATTCACATAACGTAGCACTTAGGGTTGATTGTTCTGTTTTCCACTAGAACAGTTAGAAAATATTGTAGAAAAAGTTAATCGTTTTTTGCAGTTTTTACTTCATTCTGTTCATATTGATTTTTTTTCTGTCAGGTATCTTCCACCCGAGTGCTTTGTGGTCGGGAAAGAACCTCCCAAGATCTCCAACAAGGTGGATGTGTGGTCTGTCGGGGTCATTTTCTACCAGTGTTTGTACGGCCGAAAGGTAGGAGATGCATTCATGGGTTTAAAATAAAAAAAGAAGTCTTTAACAGGTCATATGCACCACTGGTTGGCCCTCCTATTAATGGTCTAATACATCCAAGCAAACAGTATTCTTCAGCAAAGTCAAGTTTTTATTGCCCTGATGTTGTTGATCAAGCAAATGCAACTGGAACTTCATTCATCTCTTGTCCTTTCTTCCAGCCCTTTGGTCATAACCAGTCCCAGCAGGACATCCTGCAGGAAAACACCATACTAAAAGCCACAGATGTGCAGTTTCCTCCTAAACCTGTAGTCACACCTGAAGCTAAGGTACAGCTAAACCATACTGATTTGTCAACAGTGTGTTTTATCTTTCACAAAATAGTTTCCCTCTTTATATAACAATGAATCCACATACAATTGCTGTCAAGCAGCATTTTCAATATCAAGTGTATTAATATCACAAATATCTAAACAATAAATCACCATGCATCATTAAGTTTTGCATTTTTATATACTTTACCTTAGAGGGGTCCTCAGTTTACGATTTTTGACATGCGGCATTTCCTGGTTACGTCGCCGTCTCCTATAAATGTATCAAGAACGTTCCATCATTCTGTTATACGGCACTAAATTTTGCGAGTAGTTTGGACGGGAACTAGTTGAACAGCAGAGCAGACAAATACTTTATGCAGACGGTTTTGTTAACATTTATCGGTTGTACATCAAATATTGGATTTTGCTACATTTACTTTTTTTTAATTTTTATTATTTGTGTTTTTTTGTGGCCTCAAGTGTAAGATGTTTTATGTCCTATGATGTATTATGATGTTACCACTGTGTTGGCGTAGGTGAATGACGTAGGTACTTATTGACAGTGTATGAGTTTGGACTTGTTGCGATGTAAGTCACCCTTGTATATCTATTTACCGAACACATCTTTCTTTTTCTCTCCTCAGGCCTTTATAAGGCGCTGTTTAGTCTATCGGAAGGAGGACCGCATCGACGTGCATCAGTTGGCCAGCGATCCTTTTCTTATGCCACACATCCGCAAGTCAGTGGCCTCCTCTGGCACCTCGGGCATGGCTGTGGCGTCTACATCCAGCTCCTCCAACAGCAGCGCCTCGAATTGAACTGAATGACTGAACCGTTTGAAAGAGTTGGACGGGCGGGTGCTACACCACGACCCAAGCAGCATCCCACCTTCCCAGGAAGTGTCCAAAAGGAGAGGTCAGATGACAGCAGGGTGTTGCGTGAGAAGTCGTGTCACTCTTCATCAAGCTCATCTTCACCCACCCCTACCTTCCTGTCCTCCTTTTGCCAAAAGGGGTGGCACCGTTCTGGGGGTCAAAGCCCTGGACGACTCACACCGTGAGGGGCAAGGATTGGCACTATGTTGGTTAGAAGTGGGGTTCAGTGTTTTGGATTTTTCTTTTCTGCTTAAAAAAGAGGGGGGGAAAAAAGTATAGAACTGCTTCAGCTCAGCCACATGGAAAGGTCTGGGGAAGACCTCGCATCCATACGCTCTCAAAACACACACACACACACACACACACACACCTACCTGCATGAGCCATGCTGGACAGAGGCCGTCTGAACTCCCCAGGTGCAATTTAATTGTTCGAGCTCATCTTCTTGAATCTAACTGCAAGAACCAGTCTGACCCCGTTGTTATCATGAACTCTAAATATATATGGCTGTCTCATCCAGCTCACAGTTTCCAGGGTCCTGCGGCCCTATGTTCAGTTCCAGGCCCAGATAGTTTTTTTTTTGATGAGGAGCGACCGAAGCTGTTGTGTTCTCTTCAGCCCTCCTCCCATTTCCCCGTTAAACTCCTGTGACCAAAGCTTTTAACTTCCAGCTGGTGGCAGTGTTCCACCTCAGTTTTTATAAGGAATGGTTTTAGAAGCGTGTTAACCTGAAATGAAGTGGAAGATGGCGGGGATCACCCCTCTCCCCCCACTTACATTTGACATTTCAAATTAACCAGTTTTACTGAGAAAACTGATGTTTTTCAAGTTGCCTTTAATTAGAAGTCTGATTATGATTGTCAACCCCTTACCACGAACATATTTATTTAGGTATGTTTTGAATTTATTTTGGCCAATAAAATGCAAGGGACTGGTTTACCTACCTAATATTACTGGGGGGAGGGATCGGGCCTTAGCAGACAGTTGCATAAACCATTAAATACTATTGTTTAAAATGTGCTTTGTTGTTGTGCTTCTGTCAATGATTTCCATCAAGGACTAACACAGCTCACACTGTTGGACTCTGTTCACTTCTGTTTAACACAGAACATCAGTTCACTAGTTATATTCAACTGTATATTACCAAAAAGACAATTTCGTGTTGTGTCAAGCTGTAAAAATAGCAATATTTTATTTATGATTTTCAAGTAAGTAAAAAGACTTTATGGAAAAAATATAAACCAGGCCAAATATATCTACAAATAATGATTCATCTAGACAGAAAATAAACTGAAATTGGGTTTATTTAATTAAATAATTATGAATAATAATTTATTTAAATCCAGGAGTATATTTAATTAAATAATTATTAATAATAATTTATTTAAATCCAGGAGTACCAAAAAAAGCAAATTCATTAATGTGGCAAATATTCATTAAATATCTTCAAGTCGGCTTCTAATAGCAGATAAGAATTGCCTCAAGATATTGATATAAGTAAATATAAAACGTGTCAATGTGAGTTAGCCTAAGATCCTACCCTGATGCATCCCATCAGCTTTAGTTTATAATTAGTCAGTGCTGTCCTGGGGTCGGAGTTTGGACAAGCCCACCTGAATATCTTCACACAGAGAAACTTTCGAAGTTTCACTAAGGTCCCCGTGAGGAGGGTGGTCCTCACAGTGTGTTTTTAACCAGAAGGGGTCCTCAGGAGGCCACACAAACACACGGTGCTGGTGACGCTGCTCCATTCATTTGACTCGGTGTGAGTCAGACTCAGCTCCACACTCTCACTGTCCTGCAGCTCTGCATCATCCGCCTCACACTTTAACACTCGGCCACTTGTTTCTCCACACTTTCCCTCCTCGTTCTCGGCTTTTCCTGTGGTCTGTGCTGCTGTGCGAGTGTGTTTATATGCGTGAGTGAGCTGCGTGTCTGTGCGTGTGTTGGAGCTCAGTTTGTGTGAAGCATGCACCGCACCGAGTGTCTCCGACACAGGGACCCGACCGGAACATGGACCATCCGACAACTTGTACTTTACAAATGCACTTTATATTTATTCGTCTTTGTCCTGGAGCTGGACTGGAGTCTTTCCGGTAAGAACAAACTCTGGATTTCATTTACACGCATGTCTTCTTTGTTAGCAGTTTGTGTGTTGGCGCTGACTTGCAGTCATGAATTAGTAGAAAATGCAGCTGAAAGTTGGTGTTTTTCTACCTATTCTGACTGAGGCTTCGCTGCTTTGGTATGCCACGAACCAACAGTCCGAGCACAGAGTGGAAACAGATGTGGGGAAGGAGGAGAAACGAGGGGGAGGCGGTGGGAGCCAGCTCTGCAGGATTCTGCTCTAATATACTTTTCACAAACTTTTTACATTTTCTTTAAGCAGCCACAGACCGTTAGGTGTCCGTTTTAAACACAACTCAATGGCGCGGAATCACAAATAAATAAGAAAATTCCCTTTTTCAACTTTTTTTTTTTGCGTAGATTCGCGGAGCCTTTGTGCTGCTTTCTGCGACCAAATTAAAAATGTAGGTTAAAAAAATCATTTCTATGACGATATTTCTATCATATCACACTGCCTATCTATTGCAAGCGTACAATTAAATCATCTTGTGCACTCTTCTTTTAGAAATATTTGTTCAATGCCACATTTTATGAGGAACAACAGATTTATTAACTATTATTAACTGACACATTTCATTTGTTCCCCCAAAGACCACCCCCCCCACTTTTCCCACAAACCATTGTGCTTCTATCGTGTTCCAATTTCCAACACCACATTTAAAAGAAAAAAAAATAATGTGATTAACAACAAAATGGCAATGAATGTCAAATAAAATGTTGTTTTGTTTGTATCCATCATTTGACAGATTGTTTGTGTTGATGTCAAAAATAAGTCACTAGGACGTCTTTGGCAGCATGTAAAATTAAGTTTAATTAGTTTCCCAAACATTATCTCTGTTGGAATATTTACTTCATTTTCACTTAAAATATCTGTCAAATTAAATAAATAAAATCAAAGGAAAACAGTTCTGTACTTTTTTGTCCTTCCCACCTCCTGCTTAGTCATCGTTTTGGTTCCAGATGGAGTTTTATTTTGGGTGAAATTGTTAAAGTGGCGTGTAGTGACGGCTCATTGGACACCCTGAGGACACATGTGACCTTTACATCCTGTTAGAGGCTGCAATTAACATATTCACTCCATTGAACTGCACCAGTCATTACATGCTGGCGTGCACTGACTAAACATATATACGACAGGCAGGCCCCCATCATCACACCGCTGTCATTTAGTAGACGAGAAAGAGGAAGTGGCGAATAAAAATAAAATAATAAAAGGGATGGCAATAAATGAAGAGACTTTCCTGAGAGGTTTTGCCAGAAATGTCTTTTAGATATCATAGCTTTTCATGGATGTTTCAAGGCCTCTAGTGGAGTGAAATATATCCAAGTAATATTACAGAGCTCAAAGAAAATAAATAAAATAAAAAACGTTATTCATCTTATCTTTTTGTAGAGCCACACATTTGCCTGGAAGCAGAATAACAGCAAGTTAGTCAAAAAATAGAAAACCATATGTCGACTTGATTATAAGTTGGATGGTAGACATAAAAAATAGTGATGACTTGGCCCGATAAGTCAAAAATAATTTAAATAAAGAGTCAAAAATAGTAAAAAAAATCTAAGTTAGCCCAGAAAAAAAAAAGTCTGGAATTAGCCATAAAAAGTGTTTAAAATATTTGCTAAAAAAAGCTAAACATCAGTGAAGAAGAGGATGAAGAAGGTTCAGATTACCACAGAAATAGGCAAAAAGAAAATAGCTACATTTTAGTTATTATGTTCATAACAGAGCAAATGAATAAAGCTAAGATAAGAAACACGCTTCCCAGATAGATATATATTTTGCCAAAAGATAGTTTAATGTTAGTCAAGAGGAGTCACTACATTGGAATACATTTCTTAAATATAAAAAAAACCCCAAATAATCAAAAAGGAATAATTGAAATATTTTTCTCCTTCCCTCATGCTACATAATTAACCCCAGTCATCACATTTGATACGGACAGATTCAATACACTGGATGATGTAACCACTGTATTGTATTTATGCGAATCAGGCCAAATAATGGCACCTAGTTGAGGAACAGTGGTAGATACAGGTCACAGACAGGTTACAGTGGCTGAGAACGGGTTACATTATTCCACACTGTTCTATACTGTGCTGGTGTCACCGGGTCTTTTGACAGTTCCTGTCTGCTGGGAATTAAGAGTTCACCAGCTCCTGTCAGTAACTTTCCTGAAGCTCTGTTTTGACTGACATTATAAAGTGGGTCACAGCGGGTTTAGGTTCCGTGCCTTGTTCTCGGACACGGAAAAGTGGATAGAACACAACAGGGTCGGGCATTAGTGTCGACATGTAGAAAAGGCTGAAAAATAGTTAAATTTCCTACATGTGGAGTTTCAAGTTTTACTTTTGGAAAATATGTCGTAATACTCAGTGAGCAATATTCAGCTAGGGTTCTGTGGTGGGTTTGGAAATGTTGGACATAACAAAGAGAGTTGTTTATTAAATGCCTGTCTGTCAAAAGACAACTGAATGCCAGACTTAAAATATCTGAAAACCTCAAGAGGAAAAGACAACAAGAAAAATCGACAAAATATATATTAAGAAAAAGTCAGTAAATAAACACATTTGCAAGCGAGCCTTGGAATCAATTGCTGAAATGTAGCTAAGTAACTGTTTAGCTTCATGTTGGATTTAAACAAAATAAAAATGTAAACAAATAACCTAATTAGAAAATTATAACTGCTAGTTGCAAATTGCAAAAACAAACAAACAAACAAAAAACAAAATAATATGTAATATTGAAACATCTAGGTAAGAGCCTGGATTAACAAAAGATTAACTTAACTAAGTAGCTAACAAACAGTTAAGTGAGCCAAAAGATAGACCAAAATAGTTGAGTTAGAGAAAAAAACAAAAACAATTACCTGAGTAATTACATCTTAGCAGAGAAAAAGCTCAAAGTTAGCAAAAAGTGATTTCATTTTTCAAAAGACTTGCGTTCAAGCTCATGGATAAATAGTAAATAATATTTTTCAAAAGACTTCAAGCTCATGGATAAATAGTAAATAAGTGTAAACTCATAAATTGCTATGTTGAAATTCCAATAAGTTTATTCGCAATACAAATGAAAAAATGCAACTGTTCATCTTTTCTTTTTACTCCTTGCTGAAATTTATATTTATGCAGGAGTTGCGTGTACATCTACACATCTATTATTTTTAACCTTTTAAGGCTTTTCCTACCAGGACTGTAACTAGCTAGCGTTAGCTCCAAGATCACAGCTATGTGTTTCTACTGTTGTGATATAAAAACCCTTTGTTGCTCAACTGGCAGACAACCGTGCTCTTATCCAGGCTTCCATCTGGAATAAAAGAAACTTTCCACCCAACATCCCAGCCATGTCTCCCTTCACCAAACACCAAACTTTCTCAAATGCTAAAAGTCAACCGTTGCTTCCTGTGTACCTATTGTTGACTGGGCTTAAGTGTTAGTATTTCCCCTAGTCAATGATGACCTTATATGGCTAAAATGAATTACTTGAATCCTAGCTGTATGTTTTATTTGAATTTTAATGGACGCTAAAAATCCCTGTCATGAGTTTGAGTGTGACTTTGCCTCTTCTTTTTCCTGGCTGGAAAAGTGTATTCTAATGGAACATCATGACAACGTGCCCTCGTTCCTACTCGTGTTTTCAACGTTGATTTGCATTCCATCAAAGGTGCAAGTTTGCTCTGTTTCTCTGAGTGTAGCTGCAAAATGCAAATATGCCCTTTCCTCTGTCTTTACCCTCCCTTCCCCTCGCTCCTACCCCCGTTCCTGTTGGATGAGGTAAAACCCATCCACCGTTTGAGTTGCTTCAGAAGCCAGACCACCATAAAACACCAAAGACACAAACACACAGGGCTGGAATTTCCTGTCCTATTTGTTGGGTGCCGTTTCATTGCACTCAT